AAAACATGTACTCATGCTCTGTCTTCAAAATTTCCAGTGATGAAGTAGGCTGTACATCTACATTCAAACATCTATTGCCTTCTTATGCTGCTTAGTGTAAATTCAGTCACTAAAACATAAGTAAAATTTTACTTAGTTCTTTTCAATCATGCACTAATGAACTATTGCTGTTGTAATTGGATTATATTGTTATGAGCTAAGTGACTTACCCAGTATAAAGAGGGTATATGTGCGCTCCATGTTCAAGTGGTACCCCCAAGGCCAGATGTCTGTAAAGTCTTCACATCCACATCAGACATGTAGTACTGTCAGAGTGAATCTCTGCTGTTCTAAACAGTCGTTCCTCATTTGTTTCTGAATATATGTACTCCTGTGTTACATAAGAGCAGTGGGTGTTTTTCAGTCAGTTTTTGTTTCCTACTGAAAAGGCCACATGTCGCGCTGCTGATTTTGACTTTGGGAGGGGCTGCACTGTTCACTAGATCACGCCTCTTGCACTCATTTTATAGTATTAACTCCTTGAGTGAAACAAGCTTTTGAACACTGGTGGCTTTTGTCCTCTCAAATTTTCCATAGCCACAGAAAATCCTGTCCTCTACTAATCCTTAGATTTAAAGGTGCACTGTGTAACCTTTCTGATGGATGGTAACACACCTCCCTGTCTCTTTGGAGCTGTGGAAGAGTGCTTTCTTTGGAACATTCCACTGTATGGTATTGAACGCATCTATATTTTTGTTGATGTAATAAGGTCTAACAACAGGCCAGGTCTGTGGAGTGGCAGCTTGCTCAAGTATTCTTAATCTTAATTTTAATCTTTCCAGGTATTCTTCTTTTAGCAATGAAAACAACTGTAATTCAATGAATGCAAGATACCATTAAACTTGCCATGCTACCATTTTTTTATTGGTTTAATTTGATTTAAGATACTGAGGGTTGATAATGATAGCTTTACAAGAGAAAAAACTTAAGAAAAACATAACTGCGCTGGAAAAAATATGTTGTGAAAAAACTTGTTTTATGAATGTGCTGTAGATGTGAGGTCAAAGGGTGTCTGCAGTCATTGTTTTGGACTTGTATAGAAACACAGTACTAACTATGATGATGACACATTTATGGTTGCACCCTGATCTTTCCTACACAATGCAACAATAGTGGCTGTTTTAATCTTAATTTAGATTACAATGTTCCATTGGTTTTCCCCTATGCCCACAACATGTGCCCTCCTGTTGTGGTTGAGCTATACATATTAAAGGTCCCATATTAAGCTAAATTGACCCTTGTGAACTTTAAGCCATGTTATATTTGATTTTCCTGCTTAAACACACACCTGCAGTTCTGCTTTATTTCATTCAAGCATGTTTGAGTCAAAATGGTCTGTTTCGCCTTGTGGTGAAGCTTTAAGTTTCAAGTGAACAGTTCCTTTTACCTTTGGATCAGTAGAGATGGACAATTCCAGGGCTGAAATAATTCAAATGATTCTAATGAAGGTGTATAGAGTTTAAAAACACAGTGGAACTCAGTGCAGCACTTTATTACCACATGACATCACAAGGTGGATATGCATAAATATGCATGTTTTGTGTAATAAATGTGTGTGTACTGTTACACTCAACGTGACCCCTTGTCCTAATTGAGATTCACAGCCAGCTAAACTCTCTCTTGCATCACTTCCTTCAAGGAACAGGCAGGTGTTGTCTTTGACCAGGATTTAATGCAAAAAAGTGTGAAACTGTAACAAAATACAAAAGGGTATTCAGAAAGTTGTAAAATCAACAATGTACATCAAAGTTACATTATATAGACAATTAAATGGCCAATGTTAGCTGAGAAGTAATACACACAACTCAAATACCACTACTGGAACTCAAATCTCAAATATCTATAAAATGCTACAAACTTCAACAAAATGCTACAAATGCACTTGTCAACATTCATTTTTAATGTAAACACTTACTCATATTGCCACTCAAAGGGCTGGAAATGAGAGGATGGTTTCAGATCTAACTGCAAAACACGTCATGGACTGACTGACATTTTCAAGCTAGTAGTTTTACTTCTGGAGCCAAGATGGCGGCGAAGCGGTAAACACCTTGACGGAGCTTCTCCCAACTTTTTGAGAAACTAACTATCTATGAACACGACTGAAAACTACGACGCAATGTCAAACAATTCCTCATCAAAACGCAAAAGTGAAAATCAACCACCCGTGACCCCTACAAAATCTTCGAGCACTAAAAAAGGTAAAATGGACCAAGATACGGCAGCCGCAATAGTGGCACAGCTAACGTTAGCTATTGAGAAGCAAGGGTCTTCAATTGAGAAGTCAATAGAAGAGCTGAAATCATCATTTGGAGCTCTCTCTGACGAACTACATGACATGAAACAGAGAATGGAAAAGACCGAAGGACGAGTTGTCAAGGCAGAAGACAAAATCCAACAGCTTGAAAATAAGGTGATTGAACTGGCGCGCTACAAGCGGCGGTGGAACTTAAGACTGCGCGGGATGCCAGAGAAGGAGGGAGAAGAGGTGAGGATGGCGGTAATCGACATCTGTGGAAATATTGCTCCGGGCTACAGAGGGAAGTTTCTGGACGTCATTGACTCGGTGCACAGACTTGGGAGAGTGAATCCGACCAAGGCTCACGCAAGAGATATCATTATCCAGTTCTCAATGCGACATTACCGCGATACCATTTGGAAGATGTCAAAAAACTCTGAATATATGAAACAACGGAACCTACGCTTCAAGGAAGACCTGACGCCAGAGGACCGCGAAAAGCGCAATCGTCTGTGGCCCATCATACAAAAAGCACGGGAGGAGAAAAAGGTGGCTTACTTCGTTGGAGGAAGAGCATACGTCGATAACAAGGAAATATACTAGCTGTAATTTACTGTTCATAACTTTTCAATGGGGAGAAGCTCTGCTCTCTTGGGTTACTACTCTGTACCTTTAAGTTAAGAAGGTATCGTTCCAACTTTTACATTTCACTGTTAATTTAAACATTTCACAGTTAAAATTTATTTCAGTTAATGTTCGAGGCTTAAGAGACATTACTAAGCGCAAGGCTGTTTTTCTTTATGCAAAAAACTTTGATGCGGACTTATGTTTGATCCAGGAATCTCACTCTTCTGATGAAGACTATAACTTTTGGAGATCACAATGGGGAGAGGACATTTGGATGTCACATGGTAATCACCATTCAGCAGGAACTCTTACTTTGAGGCACAAATTCAACGGGAAGGTTATCTTTACACAAACAGACTTAAATGGACACTTCATTCTTCAGGTATTATCTTACAGTAACCAATTATTTCTGATGGGTAATATATATGGCTATACAAAAGTGAAGGAAAATAAAAAGTTATTTCATGACTTAAATACAGCAATAGAAAGCATTTTAGAAAGATTTTCAGATTTAAAGATAATATTAGGAGGGGATTTCAACTGTACACCCAGTGATGATGTGGACAGGTACCCCAGCAAAAATAACGTTAACGTATATTTAACAGAGTTCATGAATGAAAGAGGGCTAATTGATATATGGAGAACAAACAATCCACATATAGAGAATTCACTTGGAAAAATAGGAATGGTACGTTACAATCCAGAATAGATCTTTGGCTTGTATCAGAATCGATTTCACACTTACATTGCAAAACAGAAATTATTCCGACACCTTTAACAGATCACAAAGTAATTGCACTGACTATAAATTTTTCAACAGACAGAGAACCTCGTAGATGTCCGGCCTATTGGAAATTGAATAACACCCTGTTGCTAAATGAAAGTGTGTGTGAACTCATAAAAAACAAAATTTCGGAGTACTGCAATTTAGCCGAAACGGAAAGGAAATATCAAAAAAACTGGGAATTGTTAAAGTTTGAGTTGAGAAAACTACTTCTGGAAACTGGAGCAAAACTGAAAAGAGAGAAGAAAAAGGAAGAAAATGATATAATTACTAAACTCATATCCGTCTCCTCCATCTTACCAGAAAATATTTCTGAAGCACAACAAGCTGAATTATTAACGCTTCAGTTAAAACTGGATAAGATGTATATGAACAAAGCTAAAGGAGCTTTCATACGTTCAAAAGCTAAATGGTTAGAAGAGGGTGAACAAAATTCTAGTTACTTTTTTAAATTAGAAAAACAAAGACAAACGAAAAATAGCATAAACAAACTGTTCATTAATGGGGTTATTGTAGATGACCCAAAAGTAATATCTAAGTGCTGTGAAGAGTATTATAAAAATGTATATAAATCTGAATTCTCAGTCACTCACATGAATAATTTTTTAATGAAAGTGGGCAATGTGAAAAAAATTGGGGAAGCAAATAAAAAAATCTGTGACTCACCAATTACGCAGGCTGACATTTTAGAAGCCATCAAGAAACTTAAGTTAAATAAATCTCCTGGCACTGATGGGCTAAGCTCTGAATTTTATAGAACTTTTTCCACTGAGCTTGCTCCGTTTTTATTAAAGGTCTTCTTAGAGAGTATCGAGAAAGAACAGCTTCCTCATACTATGTGCCAAGGACTAATCACCTTAATTCCAAAACCACAAAAAGATACTTTAATTTTAGATAATTGGCGGCCCATTACCCTACTGAATAATGATTACAAAATCCTAGCTATCTGCCTGGCCACCAAATTAAAGAAAATACTAACTGATATAATTGAGGAGTCGCAGAACGGCTTTATGAGTGGTAGATATATCATTGACAATATTAGACTCGTCCTGGACATTTTAGATTATTCCGATCTTATTTCAGAAAACGGTTTCATTCTATTTTTGGACTTCCAAAAAGCATTCGACTCATTAGAACACCAGTTTATGCTTAAAGCTCTTGATTTATTTGGCTTTGGTGAGCTTTTTAAAAAATCCATTCGCACCTTGTATACATCTGGGAATAGCTCTATAAAACTGCCCCACGGAACAACTCATAGATTTAATATAGAACGTGGAATACGCCAGGGTTGCCCAATTTCTGCTTTTCTATTTTTGTTACCGATGCAAATTTTAGCCAATTATATTAAGAATAGTGACCTTAAAGGAATATCCATTGCAGGAAGAGAAATATGTCTAAGTCAGCTTGCTGATGACACAACTCTCTTTTTAAATGATTGTTCTCAGGTAAACTATGCTATCAACTTATTAACCACATTTTCCTTAGCTTCAGGACTCAAATTAAACCTTTCCAAATGTGAATTACTTCCCATCAAATCTTGTGATGCCTTACATATATCAGGAATCCCGGTGAAACAAAAAGTAAAATACTTGGGTGTTACTATCATAAAGGAAGAAGAAAAAAGACAATGTGAAAACTTTAACCCTCTTGTGCGTAAAATCCAAACAAAATTTAACATGTGGCTTCAAAGAGACTTATCAATCTCGGGTAGAATCCTACTTCCAAAGCTGAAGGGCTCTCTAGCCTAGTCTATGCCAGCTCTGCCCTTGATGTACCAAAAAACATTAATGCACAAGTAGACAAAGTCTTATTTGACTTTATATGGAAGAAAAAAACTCATCTTATTAGAAAAAATGTAATGATTAATAATTTAAGTGATGGTGGATTTAACGCTCTAGATTTTCAGACTCTACATTCCTCTTTCAAAATTAAATGGATTAAAAGATATTTATTGTACCCAAATTCATTATGGAATTTCATTTCAACACATATATTTGATGCATTAGGAGGTTTAAATTTTATTCTGAGGTGTAATTACAGCATTGATAAGCTTCCAATTAAACTCTCTAACTTTCACAAACAGTTACTGTTGTGTTGGTCCTTAATATATAAGCACAACTTCTCACACAAAAAATATTACATATGGAATAACAAAGATATATGCTTCAAACACAAATCTCTTTTCTTAGGAAAATGGTTTGACCAGGGTATCATCTGTGTACACCAACTGTTTAACAACAAAGGCATCACCTATTCATACAGTGAATTTCTCAATGTTTACAATTTTCCAGTAATGCCAAAAGAATATGCAATAGTCTTTGATGCCATTCCTTCAGGAGTGAAAATGCTGATGTCCACTTATGTACATATTTCTAATGACGACACAACTAAAACAGAGCTGTTTATTGGTAACTCTGCCCCATTTTTAAGCTCTAAAACAAATAACAAATGTATAAGAGAACTTATCACAAGAGAATCTATTAGTAGAAGACCAGCTTCTGTTTTTGTCTGGAATAATACATTTACGGACATTGACTGGAATGATGTTTGGCTTTTGCCTAGAAAATATTTTGTAACTAACAAGACTCGTGAGGTCTGCCTGAAAATCCTGCATAGATGTTACCCTGTTAACGCTGTTATCTCAAAATTTCGCTTAAACACAGATCATCTTTGCTCATTCTGTCACAGCGTTGAAGAAACGGTCACCCATATGTTTTGGGAATGCTCATACACTCAAATCTTTTGGAATGACATATTTTTGTTTGTGAATAGAAAGCTTGATACAAACCTACAATTTAATATAAAACATGTCCTTTTTGGTGTCTTTGAAGAAGAAATTCCTGCTAAAAAAATATATGTGTTGAATTTAATCCTTATCCTATCAAAGTTTCATATTCATTGCTGTAAATTTTCTAGTCAGAAACCCAAATTTGTCATGTTTCAGTCCCTTTTGTCCTCTTATATAAATTCTCTAAATTACTGCACAAATCCCAAAGCCTTGAAAACAAAAGCACTTTGTAAGGAATTTGAAATATGAATGTATTTATTTAATTTTCTACAGTTGTATATGCACATTTATATATTTACACTGTGATGTATATGTGTGTTATTAATTGCGCTGATCGAGCCTTGTGAGCATATGAACACTTAAGCCTCCAACAATGTTTGTGTTTATACCATTGTATATTACTTTGTATATTTGAAATAAAAAAAAAAAAAAAAAAAAAAAAAAAAAAAAAAAATATTATGACAGACACAAAAAAAAAAAAAAAAAAAAAAAAAAATAGTAGTTTTACTTCTTGTCACCTACTGGCTAAATATATCACCAAAATCACAACTAGCGCCCCCCAGCAGGCCGGAAGAACA